GAAGTTATCTTGTTATTCTGGATTGTCCAGTTTGTCTCTTTCCCACATCCTTTCCACATCCTCTTTTGAACTGAACAAAATTAAATAAGCTGAACTTGTGCTCCTCTAAAGCATGCTTCTAAAAATAGATTCTAAAACCACCCAGTGATATTGTCTCTGTGTTCTTATTCAGTGACAAATCTCCTAGATGATAGTAGCAATGCAAATAATACATTGTCTTGATTGCTAGGATAAATTCCCTTATTAATGATGGACAAATTTGATGTTGTACCTAATTATATTATAACTGACAGGTTGCTACTGCTATTCTTTATACTCTTGAGCTATTACCAAATTGAGGACAGCCGATGTTGAATCTGCGACAAGACTGTTGTACAGCTGTCCAAAATATTTCTGAAAGGGAACAAACTTCACTTCTTTAAAAAAAAAAAATCAGGCGGTGTCAGCCTCTGAGTTTATCTTGTGTGTGTTGTAAATAATCCTGCTGTTTATGACCCAAGTCATCTTCATTTCAGCAATATAATAAAACCCACTTTGGCAAAGTAATTTGGCTGAAATTAGGATATCTGAGTTGTAAAATTTAGTTTCAAGTCTAAGATCAGCCACAGACTCCCTGTGTAAAATTAAGTAAATGGCTTAATTTCTCAGTGCTGCCAGCTGAGGTGGCAAGGGATGCAAACTTTCCATTCTTCTGCTTTTTACCTGGTCTAGGTTGCAAATTTTGGGAAGCTGATGCTGTTTGATTCGTATGTGCTGAATGCAGATGCATTAGGAGGTGCAGAAATCCTGTTGTCTTGGTCTTTGACTTTACAAGCTCTACAGTTAACAAGACATCCAAAGTGTATCTGGCTGTGATTGTAAAATACCAGTGAGACTTCCTCTTTTTTTCATAGCTATATGGGCCTCCACATGTCCTCCTCCTATTCATTGTGTCTGTGTGGTGGGTTGGCCCTGGCTAGATGCCAGATGCCCACCAAAGCCCATTCTATCACTCCCCCTCCTCAACTGGACTAGGAGGGAGAAGAATATAACGAAAGGCTCGTGGGTGTAGATAAGGACGGAGAGAGATCACTCACCAGTTACTGGCAGGTGCAAAACAGACTCAACTTGGGGGAAAAAACAAATTTATTTATTACCAATCAGACAAGAGGATAATGAGAAATAAAACCAAGTCTTTAATCACCTCCTCCCCACCCCTCCCTTGATCCGGGGCTTAACTTCTTTCCTGATTTCCACCTCCTCCCTCACCAGCGGCACAGGGGGACAGGGGATGGGTGTTGGGGTCAGTTCATCACACATTGTTTCTGCCACTCCTTCCTCCTCAGGGTGAGGACTCCTTCCCCCGCACCAGCGTGGGGTCCCTCTCACGGGAGACAGTCCTCCACGAACTTCTCCAACGTGAGTCCTTCCCATGAACAACAGTTCTTCACAAACTGCTTTAGCATTGGTCCTTTCCATGGGGTGCAGTCCTTCAGGAAGGGACTGCTCCAGCGTGGGTGCCCCACGAGGTCACAAGTCCTGCCAGCAAACCTGCGCCATCCTGGGCTCCTCTCTCCACGGGGCCACAGGTCCTGACAGGAATATGCTCTAGTGTGGGCTTCCCATGGGGTCACAGCCTCCTTCAGGCATCCACCCGCTCCAATGTGGGTTCCTCCACGGGCTACAGGTGGACATCTGCTCCACCATGGACCTCCATGGGCTGCAGGGCAGGGGCAGGCTGCCTCACCATGGTCTTCACCTCAAGTTATGGGGGAATCTCTGCTCCAGCGCCTGGAGCACCTCCTCCTTCTTCTTCACTGTCCTTGGTGTCTGCAAGGATTGTTTCTCTCACATCTTCTCACTC